AGGGAGGGAGGGAGGGAGGGAGGGAGGGAGGGAGGGATATGATATTATCACCTTACTTTCCTTAATGTTTCCTCCTCTTACTGTTCTATAGTGAAAATTGAAGGAGGAGAATTGCTAAAATTGGAAGGAGACAGTTGCTATTGATGAAGGTATCAGTAGAAACTATTAACCTTGGAGAATTAGGATGCCAGGAAAAAAAGATGAGGATCCCTTTGGTAAGTTCTTTTTGCATTAGTGACTTATTTAATTTATAATTGTCCTTCCTCCAAGGAACAGATGATCCCATGATATTTTATGTTATCTTTACAAAAACCTTATCAACATTAGTAGCCGGTTCAGTTTGCTTCTTGCTTGTGCAGGGATCAAAGGTCTCCTGTCCAAGGCCAGCTCTTCATCCGTTACCCTGCCTTGATAATAAATTGATCTAATTGTGCTTTAAGAAAAGACAAACATGTAAGAGAAAGATGATCAAGCAGCTTCCTGGACTTACAGCAAGCAAAACTATATGAAATTATGCCTATAATTTAAATTATGTTTTAATTTAATTTTATTGATTTGATGACAAGACTAAGATTGCAATATGAAATCTCATTATGAAAGTTATTCCCCCAGGCAGGGAAAGATTGCCATTCTGTATGCTGGGTAATTATTCAAAAGAAATTGGACAGTTCATTATAATCCCTGGAGCTGTGTACTGGATGTCAATGAAGAATTTGATGTAAGTTGCCTTTGTTTATATGATCTGTCAACTTCTAGCCAAACAATGCCTTCTATTGTGGCTGAATGAGCCTTACGGCACTGATCTTTTATGATTCAGGGACAAATATGTCACCTAGTGTGTAGGAATGAGGGCGCCATATGGGGATTTAGGATTCCTTTCTGTGTAGTATCCTCAGAATCCATATTTCACACTGAGTTTCAACAATATCATAAATCTGAACACCATTCTGAAAAATATAATATTTCTGACACACACCCACAACTTAACAAGGCCCTATTGTTGCATATGAATCTACAATCCTACCTTACTCTTTAATGAAAGGCTTTTCAGAAGATTATAGGAAAAATCTAGAGTAGGAAAGAGAGGAGTAAAAGTATAAGAAAAGAAGTAACACTGCCGCTTGGGGGCTTGGGGGGCTTGGAAACATTGTTTTCTTTCTTTGAACATTTGATCTACATTTCAAGGTCTTTGAGTTTGTTTATTGAAAATGATAGCGGGATGAGCACAGATTGTTTATACAGGTGCTCCTCTGGGCTACTATCAGTAGCTGGACTGGAATGAAAAGAAAGCCTTGACTTGAAAGAGAGAAGATTGCGCGGAACCTGTTTGGAACTTAATAAAAAAGCTTTGGATTCTATATAATGGCAGTGTTTACTATCTGAAGGATAGCAGCATGAAAAAGAAAAGGAAGTGACATTACAGATGATTATGCAAGAAATTCAAAAAATGCAAATAAGAACAGAGAATATTGAAAAGAGAATGGAGAATATTGAACAAAGAGCAGAAAAAATAGCGGAAAAATTGAGAATACTTACCAAATGATGATGAAATATGAAGACAGATTTCAAAAAATTGAAGAAAAAGATGAACAAAAAGATAAGAAAATTGGTGATATTGATAGCAGATTGAGCATGGATGGAAAAGACAAGAGTGGAATATTGGAATGGGAGATTGACAGATTAGAATTTTACCTCAGATTCCAGAATATAGAAAAAGAAAAGGGAGAACATTTGGCAGGAGTAATAATAGAAATGTTGGCAGAAGCATCAGTGATAACCAAATGGAAGTTGATTGAAGGAACAGACGAGGGGTCTCTAGTCTCTGCAAGATATGCAATGGAAAACAAGCTGCCAAGAGATGTCCATATAAAATCTATTAGAACACAAATACTACAAATGGCAAGAGATATAAGATTGCACTACTATTGAAAGGATATAGGATGAAGTAATGAAATGCTATGATAAAAACTAATTCAAACTTAAACTTAGAATATTATGCATAAAATGAAGTAATAATAGTTATAGTCAAATAAATGATTAACAATGATAATAATGCATACACACACACACACACACACACACACACACTAGATTGATAATATGAAATTTTATATAAATTGTTACTATGGGGAGAATGCACAAAAGTTTTGTAACCAAAGATAAACAATTTAATATAGAATGCAATATAAAGAGGTAATACTACTGGATGGTTTTAGGATGATGTAATGAAATGCCATAATATAAATTTATTCTAAATTTAGAATATTTCACATAAAAGGAAGTAATAATAGTTATAGTCAAATAAATGTTTAATAATGATAATAATTTTATACATATATATTAGATTGATGATATGAGATTCTATATAAATTGTAAGTGAAGACTACGGTGAGGAATATTGGACTAAGATCCACACCTGGTTGGAAAAAATGATACAAAAACAAATCGACTTTAAACCAGAGATCTTTTTATTGGGAATTATATTGGAAACATACAATAGAAAACTGAAATATTTGATTGTAAATGTGTTAACGGCAGCTAGAATTGTATTTGCTAAAAATTGGGAAAATGAGAAAATACCAATGCAGGAGGAAGTTATTCATAAAATAATGGAATGTGCTGAAATGAGTAAATTGACATTTGAAATTAGAGAACAAGAAGATAAACAATTTTATAAGATATGGGATTTATTTTATCAATGGTTAGATTAAAAAAAACATGGAAATGAAAGATACTAGAGAATGTTATCAATACAAGAATAATAGAATGATACTGAATATAACATAAAGAATATTATTGGATAGATTGAACAGGATGTAATGAATTGTTATAATGTAAATGAGCCCAATATTTAGTATATCTCATTTAAAATGAAGGAATAGTGATAGTCAAAAAAAATGAGGTATGATGATAATGTATACAAGCATATTCGATTTGATATTATGTGATTCATATAAATTGCAAGTGATGACTATGGAAAGAATGCACAAAAACCTTGTAACCAATCGACACATTGTATGTAATGGAAGATGGTTTTATGTTTTGTGTCTTGTTTGTCTATGTCTGTCTAAAAATAAAAACCTTTTATAAAAAAAAATGGTTATGGATAGATTGCTTAAACAGAATATTATTGATGAGTGTCTTCAAACTGAACTCAAGAAAGTACCTCGCAAAGAGGAGTTTATCGGGTTTTATCCGTCCTGTGATTCTCCTCTGTGCATTATTTGGAAGCAGAATACATGTGTATATCTCCTTTTGACAGTATACTTGCCCTGTAGAAAGCATGGACCCTAAGAATAGGATGGCCCTGATCTTGCTGGTCTTTGAAGAGCAAGCTACTCCTCTGGGCATCGTACAGGACAGTGGATGAGACTGTGTTGTGTGTCTTATGTTAGAGGTTTATTTCCTTGTGTGTTGCCATTGTGGTCTTTGCTGATCAGAATGGCCAGGAAGGGTGGAGAGTTGTTTTCTTCTTGTCTAGTAAACTGGATTCCTTTAAAAAAAAATGTTATTGAAGGTTTTGTAGGTGTTCTTTAATTGTTCACTTTTTATTATGGTGAAGACAATGTTTATTACCTTGGCATAAGTGTGTAAGAAAGTTTCTTCTTAATTTTTTTTCATTTTTCAAAATGAGCTTAAAAAAATACAGCAGTGTTACCAACCATGCTAAAATCTCATCAATACTATGGAACTGGAATAAACTTGTGGTGCTTAGATTTAGGGAGGGGATTTATATATCCCAGTAACTTTTTTAAAATAGTATTTTAATTTCCATTTTGTCTCCCCCTCTCTTTCTCTCTCTCTCTCTCTCTCTTTTTTTAAAATAGAGTTCCACATGAGTGTAATCCTCAAAGAGATTTAGATATTCATTAAGCCATGGAGCCTTTTACAATGAAAAGAAATGGGAGCTTTAAGGAAGGCGTGATGCTTGACGAGATTTCATAAAGAGGATTAAGTTCTACCATGCCATTTAACACACGTTATTTGTAACAAAGGCTTTTGTATTGTTCAGGACTGCACAAAGTTGGCAAGTGAAAGGCAAGATGAGACAAATACAGCTCGGGAAGTATAAAAAGCCAGCAAGATGGCCTTAAAGCAAATATTCAGAAACCATTATGTAAAGAAAGAGAACAGAAAATTGGGACAATATTAAGAAGAAATGCAGGACAGGGTAGGATCAGACCTGACTTGAAGAGCTGAGAAGAAGAGACAATTTAGATTGTAAGCCCATTTTCATTTATGTAAGATTTTAGTGAGAATCCAATAGATCCCAAAAGGTGACTTATTATATCCTCTCTTTCGGAAGTTCCAGAAATTCCACATATGCGTGGTATCATAATCACCTTAACCCAGTTGGTTGATTTTGTGATGCTTTGAGAAACTCCCCCTAATATTAGCCAATAAAAAGAGAAGATAAAGTATAAAGCATAAAAGGAAATGCTTTATAATAATAAGCAGAAATCCCATTCTAAACTTTACCTGCTCTAGGGGAGAAATAAATAAACAATCACAAAATCTTAGACAAGGTCATTTATCAGCTATCATGGCTATCATAAACAAACACATGAAGCTAAATACCTGAAGGATTAGGAAATGGCCCAAATAAGCTTTCTTTACATTCAATAACCTGAAAAGGTTGAAGAACACAGAGACAGGATATGAATGTGAAATGAATGACATCTCGCACTAACTGTCAAGCCAAAAAACAAATGCAAATGTGATCAGATCTTGATCTTGCTGACTAGCAAAAGCAGAAGACTCCTACATATTGAAGACTTTCACATTCAGCCTCTGTGCCATTGTCTTTTGTTACCAGCATTATTTATTTATTCATTTGTTTGTCTCCTAGTGTGAGTGACATTTATAACTTTTGAAATGGCCCAGGACAGCCACGTTTATGAATCATTTGCTTTAACGTCCAATTTATGATTCTTTTGCTTCTAGACTGAGAATTAAATGGCACCACAGATGCAGAAGGAAGCACCATGCACTAGTTTTTAATGGTGCTGCTAATTCAAAGTAACACACACAAACACACAAACACACTCCTGGAGTATGCAATTAAAATGTTTTGCTTCAGTAAAAGATTGACTTTTATTCTAAACCATTTCATCGCAATATTTTAATGCTTCAGAAATTTATTTTAGCTCGTTCCCATTTTATAAAAGATTTCTTTTCCCTTTAAGCCAAATCTGTAAATCATTTGCAGAGGTCACTTTGACACATATAATTACATAATTTAAAATAATACTTTAAATGCCTGCGGGTTATTCAAAGTATAATTGCTTTGAAGAGGAATCAGATAACAATTCTGTCTGTTTCAAAACTTCTGAAAATCCTCAAAGCTTTTGTTGTTGTTGTTCCAACATAATGAATTCTTAATCTGTCTAATTCTGGAAATATATAGCTGTGTAAAGTTGTACAGTTATATTTTCATTATATTCTTGTATTTATTGTCTAGAAAATCTGTTGTCTACAAAGCATTGTTCTGTTTTGTTCTCTTCCTATCAGTAATGGAATAACTTAGAATGCAGGAAAAGAAATAAGTAATTATTCAGAAGATTTCATTTCTGGACTTGGCAGCTATATTTGATATATATATATACAGTATAAACTCTGCATTTTTCTATTAAAAACAGAACAATTTATGGGATGGAACTGAAGAAATCTATTCATTTTCATTTGTTTAAGAGAAAATCAAATAGCAATAGTACTTAGACTTAAACACTGCTCACAGCCCTCTCTAAGAAGTTTTTACAGAATCAGCAACACCCTGGGTCCTCATTTCACCAACCTCGGAAGGATGGAAGGATGGAAAGCTGAGTCAACCTTTAGCTGGTGAGATTCAAACTGCCAAACTGCTGGCAGAAGTAGCCTGCAGTACCGCATTATAACCACTGCACCACTACGGATGTGTGTGTGTGTGTGTGTGTGTGTGTGTGTGTGTGTGTGTGTGTGTATGTATATGTATATGTATATGTAAGATTTTTTTTACAACCCCCGGTATGCCCAAATATGGGAGGAAGATCACTACTTCCATTCTCTGTCCTTCGGCTCGTCACAAGAGANTTTTACACAAAAAAAAAGAAAAGAAAAATTAACTCCCAGAATTCCAAGCGAGAATCATTTTGACCTACTGATCTGAAGATAGATTGGGGAAGAATGCCTTAGATCAGAAGTCTCTAACCTTGGCAACTTTAAGACCTGTTGTGGACTTTGACTCCTAAAATTCTTCCAGAATTCCTTCACCAACCATGCTGGTTAGGGAATTCTGGGAGTTGAAGTCCACAAGTGTTGTGGTCGGCTAGCGGCCAGCAGAGCTGGTAGCAGAGTCGGACAGTGAGGAGGTTGGGGAGGAACAAGGGCCAATCCTGGGGGCTGAGAAAAGCGCAGACGAGGGCTCTGCATCGGAGGCAGAGAGGGAGCTAGACAGCAGTGAGGCAGTGGAACAGCTGGAGCCTGTTCCCAGTGTGCACAGAGCTGCCAGAAGACAAGAACAACTAAGAAAGCAGGGTCGGCTTAAGAGTAAAGCCACACCTTGGAGGTGATTGGCCCCTCCCATAGGACACAAAAGAGGAACGAAAGAGGAGTGGGCTTTTGCAGGAAACAATTTGTTCATTCAATCGTTTCAAGAGTAGAAAGTTCTGTTTGTGACGATAAGAGACTCTGTGCCAAGTTTTGCCTTGTCCTGCCTTTGGAAAATAGTTATTTGGCAGCTCTCCAAACAAAATAAGGTTCGCGTTGATAAACATTCCTCTGAAAGACTGTTTGCTAAGCCTTGCGGACTGTGAATGAAAGTAATTCAGTCATGTAAATAAAAGGGGTTTTGCCAGGACCAAGACTCTGCTTCTTGCTTTTTAAGGAAGCCTGGGTCAGAACAACAAGTCTTAAACTTGCCAAGTTTGTGGAGACCCCCTGCTTTAAGTCATACGGCCTTTTGATAAAAATCTGGGATATTTCCGCTGCCAACATTTCCACACTGTTGGTTGGGAAACCAAGCAGAATCATCTTTTGCAAGTCACGTACAGGAAGGTTTGGGTTTTTTTAAAGGTACCATCTTTGGCCCATTTTGCATATATGCTCCCAATGGTACATGCATAATTAAGCAGCAATTGGAACTATCGTTCCCAGTTGGCTTTTCCTGCTGGTAGAAATAGCTGCAATCCGGAAGAAATAAGCAATCTAGCACAGCCTCTAGATGTGAGAAGTGGGGTTTGCTCTCACTTCATAGTCTAATGGCTGGAAATTGACTGGAATTTGGAAACAGACTGGAATGAACAAATGACTGGAAATTTCTCTGAAGCTTTTCTTTGTCTGGCAGGTAGGAGATGCCAACTGGGAGGGATTAAGCTGCCTGTATTAAGCAGCTTGCTTGATCATAGGCCATCTTGGCTTGTTTCCACTCTACAAGCGGAATGACCTGAAGCCCACCAGCTCTTAAAAGTTCTACTTTCTACCAACTAACAGAGGGACAAATGAGTGTTCTTACCTTCCCCCCTGTCGTGGTTAACTTTAGCACCTGCAAAAGCATAGCAAGAAGTTGAAGGAATGGTAGTGGGATGGTGGGACCTACTGGCACTACGGGGGGGAAAGGGGACGGATTGAGCTAAGCCACAAAGACAGCTTTCCCCAACCTGGCACCCTCTCCAGAGTGCCGGGACTACAATTTCCAGAATTCCCCAGCCAGTTAACTTTGCTAGGAATCCAGGGGATGGCAGGACCAACCCATTTCAAGGAGGCCAGGATGGGGAAAGGCTTGACTGGGCCTTAGGAGCGGCTTCAGAGGGGATCGGAAAGAAGGCCCTGAGTGGCCCACAATACCTTCGTCATCTAAGGTGGGGTAACTCCTGGCTCCCCGGAGGTCATACTGCACTTCGTCCTTCTCCGAAGGAATCTGGCTGGCAGAGAACGCAGCCATTGGGCCGGATGGCTTAACGGCTAACAAGGCACTCCGTCCTTTCTTTGAGGGAGATGCTTTCAGGGCTGCAGAGGAGAGCGAGGGGTTTAGAGCAATGACGAGCGTCATAGAAGAGGTCAAAGAGGGGGGAAAAAAGCAAGGAGGTTCTGTTAGAAGAAAAAAGCTCACCCTCCCCCCTCCTGAAAATAACGGGCAACTTCTACCGCTGAGATTTTAAGAGACTTGGGACCAAACTGGTAGGCCATCTACTAATTATCACCTGTTTGGCTACTAACTCTCTTTTTGTACGAAAGCTTTATACCTGGAGAGGTTGTTTCTCAACCTTGGCAACTTTATATAATGTGTGGACTTCAATTCCCAGAATTCCCCAGCCAAGGTTGAGAAAAACCAACTGGGGGAAAGCACCAGAAAAGAGATTTATAGAGGCTTATTTTAAAAGGTCATTGTTTTTCTGCTAAAATAAGAAAAATCTTTACTTCTTTTTTCTTCACCACAGTTTATGTCAAGAGTGGGCTGCTACAGGTTTGCTCGGGTTCAGGAGAACCAGTAGCTAATGTTATGGCCGGGTCAGAGAACCTCCAAATCTCACCCCTGGCTGGCCCCACCCACTCCTTCCTTCCCAGGACTCTCCACATGGTCCGTTTTGGATTCAAGGTAAGTGCAGGACCTGCACAGAGGCTCAGGGAAGGGAGAAAATGAGCCTCCAGAGCACAGAGGAGGCAGTTTTCGCCCTCCCATAGGCTCAAGGAAAGCCTCCGGAGCCTGGGGAAGACAAAAATGGCCCTCCCGCCGTGCTGCAAGAGACCAATTGGTCATGCCTACCATGGCCATGCCCACCCAGCAACCGGGCAGAGAACCTGTTGCTGAACTACCTTTCTGGGTAGTTCCTCCAAGGTTATTATCTCCACAGCTGCCTACAGGTGTTTCTTTAACCAGCAAGAACCTTCGACACCCCCACCCCACATAGCATTGTTAATGGCTCCGATGAAAGCAGCCGACACTTACAAGAGCTTTTCCTGAACACTGTATTGGTCATAAACTTGAAGAACCTTTCTGCGTAGAAGCTGGGCCTGTGGACTGACACCGTGTCCTAGGAAAACAGGAAAGGGACAAACGTTTTTTGTAAAAATGTCAGGCGTTACAAAACCATGGCTCTGAAAAAAAAGATATCGCGGGAGTCATTTTAAAAAATACTATCAATATACTAGAATATAAATGTGGACTATGGATGTTTTGAAAATTATTCCAAGCACACACCGCACCTTTCTGCTGCCCATTAAAGCAGCTATGTTTAAGCCCCGCCTAAGGTAGATGCCCTTTTTCCCGAGTTCAACCAGAAACTAGAAGAAAAACGCTTTAAGGCAGGGGATGTCAAACTAGATTTCATTGAGGGCCACAACAGGGTTGTGTTTGACCTCAGAGGGGCGTGGCCAAGGGGGGCATGGCTCATCACTCGGGGCGCCTGCGGTGGCCCGAGCGCTCTGCAAGCAAAAATGGGCTCCCGAGCTCTGTTTTCGTCTGCAATGGCCTCTTGCAATCTTCTGCCAGCGAAAACTGAGTTCAGGATGGCTGTCTGCAGCCCTCTGGAGCTCCATTTTCGCTGGCAGAA